TTAATTTTAAGATGAAATTAACTGTTCATCTATATTATTTTATTTATTGGATCTAATATACGTTTAATTTTATACTTAATTTATATTCCTATATTTCTGAACGTGTAATTTAATTTGAATGATGTGAATAATTAATCGTGAATTGTATGTTTTTTATCAAATAAATATTTGAACGCTGTGCACAATTGTTATAGGTTGCAAGCTTATTTGTGGTTTGAATTGTCTTGTTAAAAGTGTATTGGCTTTGGTTTGTGAACTGTTGTTGTGTCGAAATAAATAAATAGATTACACTTTAACTTTGAAACCGAAATTAACATCATAAAGTTTACTAATCCATATTTCCCATGCACAGATTTATTTCAAAACATGCTTGCAAAATTACTCGTTAGTAGACTGAGAACGAAAAAACAACGCCACATATTTACTATGCTAATAGGAAGATGAATTCTATTACCCTTACATACACTGTATGTAGTGTATCTCACTCAATTAGCTAGAGTGAGATATATATTGAGATTCCTCGAAATTTATTTTAGTTTTCTCTTAATTTAAGACTCTGGTCAGAGATAAAAAGTATACATAGAGTGCAAATACAAATACACATTGAACTTCATTGAAATCGCATCTTAATTCATACCGAATTCTCCTTTTATGGACAAGGCCATATAGCGCAATTTTGTTAGAGGTCTTTAATAACATGGTTACCCTACACCTTGACGCCACGCAACGTCCTGATTTCTCTTCTCAATGTTTCTACGAATTATTTGCTGAAACAATAGCATGTTTCGTGTTTGTGCCGTAAACAATCATAATTAAGACGTTCCCCGATGGCCACCCCGTCTTCTTAAAAACTCTATATCACACACTTAAGGTTGAAATTCGTTTGTGTTTCCGAAACAAATTGGTACACTAACTTTTTGTTTAAGTAAACATTGTCGAAATGTCACGTGCGGTGCCTTTGAGATTAAGACACGTTTGATAATTGCAGTCAACAGTCTAGATTTGTAAAGAGGATTTAACGGTGTTTCTTTAATGCCGTAATAGTTAAATTGAGAAAGATTTTAACCGTGACATTAATTAAAATCTTGTTTAGGTTGAGTTGACATCAATTGAAAATCCTTTTTTTGTATATGGCCTTTTTTTATTTAAAATTGTTTTAATATCCCGTAGCTCGGTAATAACTTAAGTCCGATAATCTCGTTGACCATATTTTTCGTTAATGTTTAAGCTGAATAGCAAAGGAATTTCGTTTCCTGCAGTCATCTTTGTAAATGTTAATATTTTGTTTATGTTTTAATTTATCTGATGCATCTTTCACTTATATGTTTTTTTTTTTCGGATATAGATAACTTTATTTCTTGACGTCATCGCAAAAAAATGATATACAAATAGTCCAGCAAAAGGTATGTTTTAAAAACTACTTTAAAAAAGAATCAAAACAAATGTATCATTTTAAATTCCACTTCAATTCAAGCAGGACGAAAGAATTCCTTTATCATTTAAAACTGTTTGCGGTTCCCTTGACATAATACAATTTAGAATTGCGTTTTATTGTTATAGGGTCACGCAGGTGACTCGGCCAGTCACTGGCAAACACTGGTAGTGAATAATAGTGTAAACGAAAATGCCGTGACTGGTCACTTGGCAAATATTGATGTTGCGAGTTGGCGTGTTGTGGCTACCCTTTGATTGATCGTGGTTTTCGACTAAAGTTTTTATAATGTCGCCGGTGCTTAGTGGTAGTTTTGTTTGCCATTTAGGGTTGATTGTCTTGTATTTAAATGTCTTCTTATGTCTGTTAAAATGACGGATTTTTTTACAATCATCTATAGGTACAATCCGCGCAGCGGCGCGATGTTTCATCTACCTGTTAATAGATGGCATTACGTGTCATTTGAATCGCGCTAACACCATCGACACTACGTGTGTCATATCGGTGACGTCGGAAGAAAGGGACAGTCACCGGGGAACAAAGGGATGTGCACTTGTTCTAGAACTCTTTGTTAGTGCCTCTAATACACCGGTAGAGCCGAGGCCAATCTAGAAAGTTCTAGGTTCTAACCTAGGACATTCTAGATGCTGGTAGTCTACCTCGGCCCTCTATAAATACGCGGCGGGCTATCCGTGACGGGATTCTTTCAGAAACTAGTGAAGTGAACTATTCGGACGATCTAGTACTGTTGTGAAGTAAAAGTAGTGGGGCGACGTGAATTAGTGAAGTCGAAGGGTGTACTTTATTGATTTATTTTCGTAATTTAAAATTGTTAATTAAAGAGTCGAATTGTGAATTAAATTGGCGGTAATTTTTTATCCTGAACTCTAGCATGTAACAAAAGTATAAAACAAAGTCGCTTCTCGCTGTCTATACGCTAAGATTTTTAAAATACACAACGAATTTTAACCCCTTATTCATCAATATATAGTGTAATAATAATATACAGAGTGATTTAAGGAGAAGGTTTACAAATGGCCGGTTCGCTAATAGATACAAACTAGCTCGCCTGGATTCTCGTATTTTGCGGCCGGTATGGCATACCAAGCAGATCATGTTTGCTCTAATTTTCTTTGAACGTGAGTCTATGTCCTGCGGTATTCAAAAGTACAACATCTCCCGACCAGCAGTACCCTAAGAGTTTCGTTATTAGCAAAATTACACTCCATAATTTTTCTTGTATATCCAGTGCTTTGCCTAAGGCGCCAAGTTTTATTTAGCCGGCACTGGGTTCATATTTATAATACAGCAGCCAATTCTACTAATGTTCACGTAATAATAGCATCAATCGATTTATACTACAGGGTTTTCAATTTCTTCTATGTGACATTTAAAATCGATAGTCACAAAAAGCTTAAAAAAGGTTTAATAACAATAAAGGTTGGTAGAAAATTTTGGTCGTTTCACAGATCCGGGAATCGAATGCGCCAATCCATACATTTCAAACAGTTCGTCCACAAAACGTTATCTTTCAACCAATGTTTACATGCAAGAGTACACATGTCCAAATCGGATTTACGATTAAGACGAGGGCATGGTACGGTCAACAGAAACGTATACATTTTGAAAATATGCAACATACTCTTAATATCTACTATACTGGAAAATATACTTATAGAAAAATGCTTATAAAAACTATCAGCCCCATATACTCTGAAATAGGACTCGACAAAGCAGAGCAGTCACCCGGATTCTGAAAGGTCGAAGGTTCGAGTTTCATCTCAGAGTACTTGGGACTGGTGGAATTTTTAAGTATTTTTCATTATGAATATACTCTAAATACTTTCGCATACATAATAAATAAATATTAAAAAGTATCACATACATTGCTCACATTCCAAGTTGAGTAGCTAAAGCCCCCATATTGAGGAAAATCTTAAACAACGAAGATACTACAACACCCAGATCTGAGATAATTGTACGTTGACCCGACCGGGAATTAAACCTGAAACCTCAGAGACGGTGACACATAGAAACCCGTGTGCGAACCAATCGGCTACGGAGAATTAACCAAGATGTCGAAACTGAATTCAAATTTTTCTTGAAATCAATAATTATCTGGAGTAATATCTTTTCAGTTCTGATTTTATGTTCAAATTACTTGTTTGTTTTAATGAATTAAACATTTCATATGTTTTTAAACTTCCTGTCTTAAAATATATTGTTTCTAAAGCAGCAAACATATTAGATTTTAGTAAATCCATAATAAAAAATGAAAAAATAAAGAGGTTTATATACAGGCAAAATACAGTTTGAAGAAACATTAAAACTTTTTATAAATTGCAAATTTAAATTTAATAACATTTGCTAAGCTACTGAAGAGTTACTAACTGTGTTACTGACCGTAGGCCGGTCTTTATCGAAATTCGTGTTCAACAGAAAAATTACAACGACCATAACATAGCAAACGTTTAAACATTCGACAGATACCGGTGTTCGGCTGATATCGCACCTTTGTCGACGCCGACGGCAAATCAAAGTCATAAAACAAATGTAATTTCGCTGGCGATAACGCAACGCCAACGATAAGATATGTCAGGCCCAAATCTGAAGCCATGGGATTTAGGAACGACGTGTTATTGGAATCTACGTAGCCATAATATTATATTGAATATTAGTTGGCCCCTGTCGAAACATCAGAGGCGGTGTTAAAAAAATACTAGTTACAGTATTTATCGTAGATAGTTATTTTTTGGCTCTATTACACGTCCGGGTAAAAGAGAATGAAGCAATAATTACATTTACTATTTTTATAACTAAAGAAATACATACATTTGACCACAACATTTTCGCAGAAAATAATACAATAAAGAAATATGTGGTTGACGGTTTAATTATGTAGAACACACCGTGAACTAAGTACTTACTAGAAGAACACGCGTCATGTGGCGTCAATATTTTCATATTTATTAACTTTCACATGCAAAATCTGTACTTATATTATAAAAAGGAAAGTTTTGATTATAATATTGTATCGAATAGGCTGTAAAACTATTGGACCTGTTTTAAAAATGGGAAGCTTACGTCGTTCGCGGGTGATGTATAGTCTATAATTTACGCGGACATAGTCGCGGGAAGACAGCTAGTTTTACATAAAATTGATTCGTGTTGTGGTGGTGCGGGTTACGTGTAATCGCTGGTTTAAGCCATAAGATTTTAGATTACATAAACAATATTTTATGTGTTTAGTACCTTTTTTTATTGATACCCCACATAAAAAAAGCGTTAATTTTGAAGTTAATTTGTGCAGTAAAAATTAAAAAATAAATATGTCTATAAATAATTGATGATTGTTTGTGTTAATTTATTTAAAGTTTGCATTGCTAATTATGAATTAAGATTATCTTCTTTTTCAGAGACAATTTCAGTCTATGAAATTTTTAAAATGAAACTGAATATAAACACATTTTGAAATTATAGATGCACTTAATAATTAACTTTGTATACGCACATACTTATATCTGTATTGTAAATACCAAAGCAAAGATAAAATTGTAGAATTATTTACCTCTAGGATACAAGTCTTGGCTTTGGCAAGGTGGTGGAGATGCCAATCTAGGTTCAGCTCGATTGGCGGGTGCTCCCCAAAGAGATTGACAAAGGCCATTCCTTAGCGCCTCGCTAGCTGATACTCCTGTGAAGGAATGTTAATATCGTTAATGCAATAATACTTTGACAATATTGACAGGTCAGAATAATCAGGGTTCCCTACTTAGATATGTACATACGTACGGTAAAGCGGAGTCTTAGTAACCCAAAGCGTAAAATCGAGACTCCCATTTTTACGTTTTGGGTAAAATCGGCACCTTGTTACTAAGACTCCGCTGTCCAGGCTGTATCTCAGAAAACATGATAGCTAGACGGTTCAAATGTTCACAGATGATGTATTTCTGTTATAAATATAGTAAGTATGGGAGTCCTCCCATAGAACAAACATGACTTTTTTGCGTTTCTCGCAGATAAATTGTACGTGAGTCCGACTCGTAGTGCCGCGATGATGAGAACGGAGAAAGCTTCAGATTTCGAAAATTAGTGATGATCGGAGTAAAGGGAATTCTCACTCTCTCGAAAATCTCTTCTATTGTTTTAATAAAGACAATGTTACGAGGTAATAAAGTATCAATTCGTTTGTGCTTTCCTTTAATAGGCTACTTCCTAATTCACGCAACAATCCAGTTGACTCACTAGCAGCTGTCGAATGCGTTTGATTTTATTTTGCTCTTGAATGGTTTCTTTCAGAAAGCGCATTTTCTTTACCAAAGACACATCATAAATTAAAATCATATATATATATTATTTATTTTAGAATGCTTTTAAAAATTCCTGCTACTAAATTAATTGGTATATCTTGAATTTAGCTACTATTATTTACCCATTTATATAAATGTATTATTATTTATTATCATGCTCACATTGAGCATGAAGGCAGCTGTTTATAGTAGATGTAATCAAAACATATATTTTTGTAAAAAGCCGTTTTAATCGACTGGGTAAAGCAGACTCATCAATGGAGACATTCATTGTCTCCATTGATGGGTCACAGATCTTCCATCAGAATAAAATCAAATAGGAAAAGCCATAACCCACCACGCAGGCTTATTGTGGATTTGAATGTTTTAACGACAGCATAATGAAGAAATAATAACTTAATGTGTTTTCTTAAGCCAGAATTCGAGATAATGATATTTTATTCACCCATCCCGTGATGAGCCTTTAAGACAGTTTAATACGTCATCGAGTTAGTAATATATTAGTAGTGATAAAACTAGTACTCAATGAAACGCATAAGCTTTTTCAAATATAGAACGAAGAATACAAGGTTAAATCATTTAAAAACAATTAGAGTTAGGTTAAGTAAATAAAGTATTTAATCAAATTGCCCTTTCATACTGAAACGGACATTGATGTCGCAGTAGAACGTAACAAGGTTTGTTTACGTTTCGTTAAGCGTTTCCATTATGATCGATTGGAATGATCATAATCCATGAGGGGTCAATTTAAATGGTACTGTTTGTTTGGTTAGAGCTACGCCATTGCAGAAGTTAAGAAACTTTCGCGAAAGTCAGTCACAGGATGGGTGATTTGAAATATAGTAACTGTAGGTTCTCCGTGCTTAAATGACCTGTCAGGTTGGCAGGATCTTAATCGTCATCAATCCATGCTAGGCATACGTGGTCGGTCAAGGGGGCACATGAAAATTACTATCGTTCAATTGGATGGTATTTCTTCATACATACCAAGATAGTACATATTGTACATATTGTCACAGACAAAATGCGACTTTGCTCATTTTTTTTTTGATAGAACACATTTTTGATAGAACATTTATTTTTTATTTCTTCTTATGATTATATATTATTTTTTATAGAGAAAATTGATAAATATCTGAGTAACTTTATAGCCAAGTGCTAATTACACCACTTATAATAACCATAGTGGTTTATGGCTAATTAAAAAAAAGTCTTTTAATCTATCTCGTTTCTAAATAATATCCAATGACAGAAAAAAAAATCAATGCAGCGCTCAATCAAATGATCGTATCACAAAAAAAAATATTGACAACATTACAAGCTGATGTGTCTGATAAATGTAATTATACAATTAATAATCTTGTAACTTTGGCACTGATTATGGACTACACGCTATAGATAATGTTTATCGTGTTATATCTTTTAATCCACTTGAGGATTTCACAATAGATAAAGTGTAAAAAAAGGATTTGTTTTTTATTTTGAATGTTAAAGAAAATTTCGGTGAAAATACGTTCACTAGTAAAGAGAAGCATGTAGTGGAAATGCACCGCAAAATTGTATTTTTTAAATTAATCTGATCGGTGTTACTGTCAGTTCATTTCAAATATTTTTTATTTAGGCAGAAAGATCTAGCTCATAAAGCCTAGTTTACGAAATTTTTCTTGTATTTTGAGCAAATCGTTATTGTACCGGAGCTAATATCTTGAAATCAATTATTGCGTTTAGATGGAAGGCCGGCATTGATGCGGCGTAAAACGGCGAGTGGAGAACTATATTCACTAAAATGGATGCGTGGAGTAATAAGAATGGATAAAGTTTGAAAATATTACCAGTATCAGAAAAATGTAGAAGTAACAGGTTATATTGGTATGAACATGTGATTAGAAGAGACGATATGCATGAAACGTTTTTATTCAAGTAAGTTTGTTTCAAACAATTTTGAATCGTCCAAAAAAATTTTTCCCCTACGTCTTGTTCAGGACGTCTTCTAGCTGACAAGAAGAACAAGCGAAAGAAACTTACCAGCTCTTTATCATAAGCAATGACATTTACATTAATCAGGTCATTACCAAAACATTTACATAAATCAGGTCATTACCAAAATAATATGTTTTATAACAATAATAAATACAATTTTCAAAGTCTGTAGGACATAGGTTGGTATATAATTAGTCGTTATAAAACAAAGCAAAGGCTATTAATTCTATGCATTGCGGTCCTTCAAATAATCATCAATTTTATAATAGCCTTTACTCATAAGTATGTTCTTTACACGAATTTTAAATTTGTTTATGGGTAGGTCAATTACATTTTGTGGAACTTTATTGAACATAGCAATGCATTTATCCAGAAATGACCCTCTGGTTTTCTGAAGTCTGAACCTTGGAATGGCAAGTTTATTTTTATTTCTTGTTAACACAAGAAATAAAAAGATTATGAACACTACTTTTTTTGTGAAGGAATCATAATGTTTTCTTGCGTACATAATATTTTCATAGATGTATTGAGAGGCAACAGTCAAAATATTTATTTCTTAAAATATTTCTCTGAGAGATTCCCTCGACCGTAAATTATATTTAGCGCGGGCAGCTCTCTTTTGTAGAATAAAAATATGTGAAATCTAGCCGCAGAACCCCACAACAATAGGTCATACGTCGTTACACTATGAAAATAACTAAAATATACCAATCTTGCCAATTCAACATTTGTAAAGAGTCTAATTTTCTTAACAGCAAAAGAAAAAGCGTGGAAGAAAATGTAAGGACAAGAAAGCCGAAGAAAAGATAACAGACTGTGCGAAAGATGAAATGCGTAAGATAGGAGTAAATATTCAAATGACATCTGATGACAACGAAAGATGTTTTTTCCAAATATTTTAAAACTATTAATATAACAAAATGGGTATCATAATATCGATACACCACAGTCTCCTGGTAATTGTTGCTGACATACTACTCGCAACTGATTGCGAAGCCCTTTAATACGAGATGGCATAATGTCAAGTAAATCAAGACGTACCAATTCGTTGATAATAATACAAACATTCAATTGGTCAATTGACGTTTTGATCTCTCTACCGACCCCGTAATGGAATGGTTCATTAGTTTTTAAGATTTGGATAATATATTGCAAGATGAGTCTATCCTGGACCTGCACTATCTAAATATTTCTTCTAATCTTAATGGAGGCTGACTTCATGCTGCTCTTGAAGTTTTTCAGTATGAAGGCTATGTGTTTTAAACCAAACAGAAATATTGACGCCTTTGAAATGTGCTGGAGGCGCATGTTACGAATTTCCTGGACTACGAAAGGCACCAACCTTAGTAACTATGTAAAACCTGATAGCGTAGATTTTGGTGTTTGCTGATAAATAAGAACAATATTGAATTTTGAAATATCACTTTGGTTTAATATTACAGTTGAAGTGACACGTTCCGAAATAGGTCTTGAACGCGTTGATCTCAACAAGATAATGACTATAACAGCAAGGGCAATCAGTGCGGTGCGAGGAAGTGAGCGATTCGGTGGCGCCAGGATACTGAGCGCGCGCCGATCCGGCATTTTGACTTCAAAGACTAAAAGTATTATTTTGTGTCAATTTATGCATCTAATATACATCTTTTATAGCATATATATGGGCAAACAAAAAGCATATATGAGGTATTATGATTGTCGAGCAATCTTATGATAAGACCATGCCTTATGGCAATCAATTCTCTCTCGAAAACCCGATCTAACGAGGAGTAAATCGGGCAAATGATATTATGTGTAACATTAGATTCTGATATTTTCTTTAAATTATTAAAAAAAGCGAGATAACGATAAATACACATCTATAGATGTAAAATCTTATCGATAAAGATTATGTCTGATATGTATTACAAATAAGAGGGATTACACTATTTAATTGATTACTGAAGAATTTTGTGCTCATTTTAAAGGAAATTTAATGAAAGTTCGTCATTTTCCGTTGTCGTAATGTATGGGTTATGAAATTGCTTTGAAATTCTTATGTAAATATTAAAAGGATGTTAAAAGAATTCGGTTTTGTTGTAAATTAATACTTATTTGAGTAATTACTGCTGACAGGGGCCGAGGTAGCTGAATATCATTCTGAATAATATAAATAACAGCCGTAGAATAGTAGATAAAATTCTTCATTGTTTAAACCCCAAGCTTAATTAATTATAAAATTATTATTTATTTATTTATTGAATTTGCGTTATTATAAGCTTTTGTTTAAGATGATACGTACCTTTAATATGGCATTTTACAAAAAAAAATACGATAAAATATATTACCAAAATTAAGTCCACTACATTCCTAAATATACTCGACCAAAAAGTAACCAAAAGGCACGAGATTACGTCTCTGAAATGTA